TCCATCCATCCATCCATGGACTCGTCCCTCCCTCCATCCATCCCCACTCACGTCGGTGGCCATCAGCTCCTCGGAGTCATCGATGGAGGCCACGGTCACCTCGCCCTGGGACACGTAGCCATAGTCGTAGGGGTTGGAGGTGACCAGAAGCATCTCTAGTGGAGGGTGGAGATACTACTGAGCGTTCCCAGTGTCCCCACACCACCCCAGATTTCAGGAGGATGTGGGAAGGAGAAGCCCCATGGCCGCGGTGGTGGCCCGGCTCACCCAGCAGCTCCGGCTTCTTGTTGGACAGGATCTGGTAGAAGATGTGGTAGTTCCTCTCAGCCTTCAGCTGGAAGATGACGCGGGACTTCTCCAGGAGGTCTGGGAGAAGGTGGGATGAGGAGAGGGGTGGAGATGTGAGGAGATGGACAGAGGGGTGAGGAGGTGGAGGGATGGACGTGTGGGTGGACAGAGACACGAGGAGATGGACAGAGGGGTGAGAAGGTGGAGGGATGGACATGTTGGTGGACAGAGACACGAGGAGATGGACAGAGGTGGAGGGATGGATGTGGGAGCGGATGGAGACACGAGGAGATGGACGGAGGTGGAGGGATGGACATGTGGGTGGACAGAGGAGATGGACAGTGGGGTGAGGAGGTGGAGGGATGGACGTGTGGGTGGACAGAGACAYGAGGAGATGGACRGAGGGATGGACAGTGGGATGGAAATGGGGGTGTGAGGAGAGGGATGAACACAGGGAGAGGTGGGTGTTGGGATGTGGATGGACAAGGATGGACGGATGGACAGGGATGGATGGACAGAGGGACAAGGAGGTCTCTGGACACGTGGACAGTGGCCGGACAATGCCCTGCCCCCACGGCCCTGTGGTCACTCACAGGTCTCGATGTCGGCCGAGGCCAATTTCCCGGTGGCCCCRAAGTGGATCCGGATGAATTTCCCCTGGACGGGAGGGGGAGGGGTTATGGGGCACCACAGGCCCCACCTCATGGGCCACACCCCATGAGAGACCTCACCCACCCCATAGACACCACCCACCCCATAGACCCCACACACCCCATAGA